CTCTTTTGGTTGTTATACTAAGTTCGTGTGATACTTTGTAAGTTGTTTGATTATTGTTTTGCTCTAATAATATATCTCACATTCCTTATTGATGTATCAGATTGTAAATGGCTGGTTGGTCAGAGCTTCCGCAGGAATTGTTGAGGTTGATAGCTCATTGTCTTGTTACATTACTAATAAAGTCCGAGTCACATGTGTTTGTACTTAATGGAGGTTAGTATTACAAACTATTTCTAGTATTAAGGGAGTTCTGCCATGGTTGCTGCTGTCTCGTGATGATTATACAAACGAAAAATATGTAAGGTTTCTTATTAGCATACATGAAAGAAGAGTTGGTCACTACCTTAAGGTCCCAGAGGTCCTTGGTAATAAGGAGTTTTGCCGTTCTTCCCATGGATGATTAGTTTCTATTGAAAATGACACTCCTAAAATCACTTTGTTAGTCTGTTTAACCGAATCACTAGGGTTGAAATCACCCTTCCAGCAAGGTATAAGTTCCCTTCTCTGTGAAAGTATTGGGCAAAGAAGCTTGAAACTGAATATGCGCTTGATGTTCATGATGGCCAGACTTTATTCCTTCCGGCAGATCTGGTCAACACATGTCTGTTATTCAAAGTTGTCACTTCTTTAAGTCCTATCTCAAGCAAACAGAACTCTGTAGTTGTTTCCTTCTATGGTGGTAATTTTAACTTGACCCTGCAAACTTGGAGATACTAAGTGGATATCCATTTCCAAAACAGGATAAGGATGACATCTTTTATCACTACCAGAAGAAACACCTTTAATGGCAATTAATTAGATGTTAGTGATTTATTCCTTTTGCTCAACTATTAGCGGCAATTAGACATTAGCCGAGAGTAAAGACCTTTTCACTGGCCATTGAAGAGAATAGCCACAAAAAGTTGGTATTAAATAGAGTAATATAAACAATTTGAAAGCGAATTTTTCCTAATCTTATCTTCCCTCCCTCTTCTCATTTCCCTCCTTGTAAACCTAGAACAGACGGAAACCTAAAATCCTGGTCGCTTGTTCTCCGATTTTTCAGTGTATCTGCAATTGTTTTATTGAGGATTTTGAATTTGTGATGGATTTTAGATATTCTGGACGGGAACGATGCAGAAAAGGAAGGTGAGCTTGTTTGATGTAGTGGATGACTCGTCGGCATTGGCGAAGAAAGCCAATGGAAGCTTAAATGGTGGAAACAGCATGACACCTTCGATCGACAAGTTGTCCTAAAAGCCTTACTCCCAGATACTCTATGAGATTTTGGAGGAGAGGAAGACTCTTCCGGTATGGCATTAAGAAGAGGAGTTCTCAAGCTGATGAATATCCAATCATCGGCTATGCTGTCTCCGTCGCTGGCTGTCGTCACCAGGCAATCCGAATCATCTCTCCCTCACTATTATCTCTATCTCTATCTCTATCTCTTCTCCCTCAATTTTGATGTCTTTATTGTTGATGGCTCTCTTTCTGTCTTAGCTCTCAACCTTGCCTCTCATCAGTTTCGATTGTCGCGGGGTTACATACTCGAGCCCTAGGTTTGGTTTGGTTTTTCTCCTTTTTCATTTTTTTTCCATTTTAGTTTTTTGTTGATTTTCAATTTCTAATAACTGTTTTGTGCATTTAGTGGTTTGCTTTAGATTATGTTCAATTTCTTTAATGATTCTTATAATACAAGTACCAAACTATATTTGTATGTTATGGGGTTGAGATGGAATATTTAGCATCCATCGCTTTGAGTGTGTACCAGGCGAGACTATGTGGGAACAAATTTCTATCGCTTTCCCCCTACACATACAAGCAAATAAATTCACATTTTGTCAACATATCTTGTTCAGATAATGTGGTAATGTATTGCCAGTCTGAAGCTGGGCCATTACACATTTGACATTTGTAACCTGCGAGTTGTGTAAAGTTTAAATTGCTGCCTTTTTACAAGTCTGAAGCTGTATATGATAAGTTACCTTACGCAGGCATGACTTACTTTTTTTTGAAGACAGTGCCTGCCCTGTTAGACGACTGTGAAGTATAAGATTAGCTTACCGACTCGTCCGGATATTCAAAGTATGTACTCCTTCCGTTTCAATTTGTTTCTTACTTTCCTTTTTAGTCCATTTAAAAAAGAATGCCTCTTTCTTTTTTGTCAATTCTTTGATTTCAACTTTCAACATGACGTGATTAAGGCCACAAGATGAAAGAACATTTTGGTATATTCTACATATCGTTAATTTAAGACCACATGATGCAAAAGTCTTTTTTATTTTCTTTAACTCCGTACCAAGTCAAATCAAGGCAAACAAATTGAAACGGAGGGAGTATATAACTTATGAAAATCAACTTGGCAAAGAATGTGTACCTCCTTCTTAATTCAGAAGGTGCAGGCCTAGCCCCATTTGATTGCTGGCTTTGTTTAAGAAGCATTAAAATGATGGTGCTTTCCTTGCTTTTAAGTCTTCTGTGTTGTTATTACTTGCTAGATCCATTTTATTTACTGAAGCTGTGAGAGTGACTTGATTGTCAATTTTTTTTTGGCACCATGAACAGCGTTAGCTCTCAAGAGCTTGGTTGACATAAGCATGGAGTCATTACTCCTCTCTCAGAGCAATTGACAATGCCATTAGCCCATTACCCAATGCCATGATTTGCATTACTCTGAAGGAGTTGTTTGGTGGTGCCCATAATCTTCTTCCAGTAGGTCTGTTAATCGTCTTCATTTAGGTTCTTTGAATTTATTATCTTCCAAAGGTTTGGTAATCAGGCTAGACCTGGAAACCTCCTTCCAGGTACACAGTTGGTTGTGTCTGTGTGGCGCTGAATCACAAAACGAGTTGGAAATCCTACTCGTCTTGGAACGTCCAATAAGACGAGTTGGAAGCCTACTCGTTTTGTGGCGATGAATCACAAGACGAGTCTGAATGTGCAATTTGGAACTTCCAGCAAGTAATTCAACTCAGACTCAGAAACCTTCAACTGTGGGCAAAGACAAACAAGTACCTTTATAAATATATGACTTCCTTTTATACTTTACTAGTTATTGAGCTCCATTCCTCTTGCATTAATTTCTTAAGGTCCATGTATCTGATGTCTTTTTATAATATTTCTGCTCCCTATTTAAGAATTCTTTTGCTATCTTTTATCTCTTTGCTTGATTGAAAGCTTGAATTCAGAGTTCTTGTTTCCTCTCTACTTTTATTGGTGAGTGCTTGCCTGACAATCATAACATTCAGAAAAAATTCTGTCATAGTTGCATAATATATGGACATTGTGTGTTTCCACAATATGGCAGGAAAATGCACAAAAGATAGCTGAGTTTTTATCATCCCATTCTCGAGTGAAGAAGATTACCATGCTGTTTTACCGGCCATCCTACTAGATCTTTTCACTATTCTCAAGATTTTAGTCCTAACTTTAGTATTCTTGGTTTACCATTAGTTGTATGATTTTCCATTGGCGTTGGACATTCCCTGTTGGTGTTACAGGCCAAAGGTGCAGCATCTGTATTGAGTTTTCTTGACAGGGTCATTGGCACTTTCTAAGCATGTGGCCGAAGGTCATCAAATACTTCAGTGTTACAGTCAGTTTTGGTGAGTATACTGTATCCAATATTAAAGATCAAATGTCATCAATCTCATTTCTGGTCTTGAAATTTGCAGAAGTGTCAAGTCACTCATAAACCTGCCTTGTTTCATGCCCCATGTGGCTATACTCGTTGCAGTACACGAGGCTACTAAGGATGTACGTCAAATTCCTGTTGGGATTGAAGATGTTAGTGACTTATAGACAACCTGGACAGTGCGCCTAGAACTGGGCTAGCATAGAACATGGATTGTCATCCGCCACACGTCTAAACAAGGATAATTGTCTCAAGGTCTTGCGAATATCAGATTGTTAAGGGGAGCATAATATCAAGATACTTGCATCTTTTACAAGTCCATATATGAGTTAGATAATTCTAGTAAACAGTGTTTGGTTAAATATATGATTGATTTAACTGTCATAATAATTTCTCAGGTTACTCACAATTATTGCATTGTTATCGAAGTTGTACGGGATGAGAATGGGAACAGTGGTCATAGGTGTAATGATATGGTACCTGTGTTGGCATATTATTATTTGATCATATCTTTTCACTAACTCATTTATTATGTGATATTGTAATTATTATTATTAGTAAAATAGATCGAAAGGGAATAAATGTTTAGCATGAGAGTTTTTGCATATACATATAGTGATATTTTGTAGCCTATTTACCATATTACTCGGAATTGACAATGATCTACTAACCATCCTAATCAAGACATATATACTACTTTCATTCAACACAACTTCTTAATATAATATATGAAGTTATAAAAAGGTGGAGGTTACAATTTTTCTTAAAATAAGGCGCAAACTTTAAGACTTGGAGACATTTGTCACCATAACCATCGTTGATCATGTTCACATTTATACTATATTGTTAAGAAAGTGTACTTTTTATACCAATTCGTTGAGGGTGTACAATTACAAATTATAACAATATTGAGCGAAAGTAATAGAAAACAATATTATATTGCTAAAGAAACAGTTTATTTTCTTTGAAAATAAAGGATATCCTTTCAACTTCATGTAATAGCAAATCCAAATCCAATAACTAAATTGTTACAACTATCAATCGAATAGGATCACTACTCACTAGGGGTGTATATGGACCAGGGTCCAGGTTAGTTCGATTTCTAAAATATCAAATCAAATCATTTATGTCAGATTTTTAAATCTATAAACCAAACTAACAAGAGTCGAATTTTCTTGTGTAAAGTCTTCATACAAACATATCCTAAAGTGCATCATTTTGAATATGTCAACTTATTTTTGGTTACATGATATTATTTCATTACGTTATGTAGGCTACCATTGGTATTGATTTTTCATCAATAACAATTTATCTTGAAGATAGAATAGTTCACTTACATTAAATTAGAAAAATTAAAAAAAGAAACTTAAATTAGAAACCAAATGGTCAACTTGTATACTAACTGCTAACTTTATGTACAGATGAAGAACGATTCCTACTCATGAAACATTAAGATAAAATACAAGCAAGAAAGAGAACTCATTCAAAAGTGTCACCTAGCAAACTCTTTTCACAAATGCTGGACGCAAACGCGACAGGAAGACTAGAAGTAGATGCTAAACATTAGCAGCCCAATCACCACTCATTCTAACTCTTAGAGTAAGATAAATGAGTACGATCGTCCCCATGCACGACCTGAAAAAGGAAGATACTTTTAGTCGATTGCTAGAGCTGTATAGAAGCGATAACTAAACGCCAGAAGAAATATATGTACAATATGGAGCAAAAGAGGTGTCATGTAACTAAAGTTGCATCAACATCTTCAACATACTGGCTCACACTTAGTTTACCGAAATGTGTAACCATCAATTGCGTAGGGATAGATAAGTTGTTATATTAACAATACTGCCAAGAAGACAAACAACTTCTTGAATGACTCAACATCACATGACTAATTTCCAATTTCTTCCTTCTTACAGATGATTATGCTTATGCTTCTGTGCCCCATAGCCATATCATCTATATTTCTCCTTCAAGAATATTTAACCATTACAATCTTCAGTAGAGACTAACCTACTCTGTATTGGCTATTTTCTCATCCATATTTTCTTTAATGATTAAATATAGGTAATCGATGCATTTTCTCAGCTTTTTTCCAAGTTGAATCATCTCTAGAGATTAGCCTACCAACAACTTGTGAGTATCAAGACAAAACACTTTGTATAGTAGTAGACTGACATCTTAACATCTGCATTCAACTCTGATCAGTAGGCTTTGACAAAGAATTCCATGCAATTAAAAGCAAATAATCTTCCCCCTCACCATCTCTCCACCCACTCACCCACCAGGTCATTAAGTTGTCTAAACACCGTAACTCAAGATCTAATGACCAAATAACATCTTGCCCTGCCAAATCCCAAAATAAAAGCAACCCTACGCATCTTTATAATAAACAACATCAATCACATCCTTTTAACCTTATTATTCCTATCCTGTCTGCATTACTTGCAGCTCTAATAATAAATATCCATCTCAAACACAGACAACCAAAAATCAGACAATGACAGAGAGAAAAAAGGACATGGGTGCTTGCACATGTATTCGATAAAAGAGAGCATAGAACTTGAAAGTTACATTTGTTCATTGAGAAACCATGTTACAGTCTACCATTTTCTGGTAGTTATAACCTACAATATTCAAAATCAAGGGATGACAAGCAGTACAAATCCATAGCTTTCAAAACGATTAGCTTGGTGAAACATTTATACCCTCAATTATTATGGTTGGTTGTGCAATACTTGTTCCATATTCATTGATGCAGATGTTTGCACATGACAGCTCATCATCTATTTCCACACAGAACCGGCTCTACTATAGAGCCACTAAAGCAATGGCTTGGGGCCCCAACTTTTTCGGGGATGCACTTTTTCCTAAGGATGTGTTCTATATATTTTATTTTAGAAGAAAATCCTATGTATTGTTGGATTTGAAGAGAAGTTTTTGGGTAGAAAGTAAAATATTTTTTTACCTTAATGCGGGGATCGTTGCAATAATTGGGAAATGAAATAGTTTTTAGGTAATTGTAGTTTTTTTTTTATGTGGGTACTTTTTTGTTACCTCATTTATATCCAATAACAACTAACATGGACCACATTTTCCCTATATTTACTTTTTTCATTTTTCTATTATAAAGTCTAACCAAACCTTCTGCATTCTGCAAAAATTTCAAGCATTGCAACTGCCAATCATTATATTGTAGCAACACAACATTAGTTCGATATCATTTTATCAACTTACCAAATTTCCGAGTCAGGTTTTATTATTCAAATTTTATATTATATTTTTTCACTAAATTTTGTCATTGTTGATATTCTTACTTCATAAATATATATTCTTGTTTTAGATATTTATTCTCTTTTTTTTTGGGCCAAATAGACCCAACGGTCAGATTTAGATTAATAAATCAACTAAGTACTTTTAGATAAATATTCTTGTTTTAGTTATTATAAGAATTTATTCAATTTAAATATGTCAACTAGAAAATATGATTTGACATCAAAATTTAAAAGCTAAATTTTTTTTTTAGGGCTTCTTTGTGAAGTTTGGCTTATGCCTCACTCTTGTTGAGCCAAGCCTGCTGATACACAAATTGTATCAACTAAACAGATTATGAGAAATGAATATAGTATTGGTAATGAATGTAATGAATGCAATGTTTTTAGCACCAAAAAGGAAAACATGAAAAGAACGGATTCAGGAATTAAACTTACATGACTGAGAAAAGGAGAACAACTCTTCTTGAATTGAAAGATGCAGAGCGCTTGTATTTTCTCAATCTGTTGCTAGGTGTATCATATACCTTCTCGGTCAAACATTTATCTGCCATTTAAAACAAGAAACACTTGTGAGCTTTTCATCTCATTGTACAACTTAAGCTCAAATCTGGTCCTGATATGAGGTGAAGGAACCACCTTTTTCAGCTAACTGAAAAGTCATTGAACCTTTACTTGCTCTTTTATTATATGGAAACAATCAACAACTCAACCGCAATAGAAGACAGGATGACCAGTGATATCTACTGATGCTGTCTAATCAGAGCAGTTGCAACTTGCAAAGGCTAACTTAAGTATCTAAGTATATTTGATAATTTTCTTTTTGATCAGTAAGTACACTTGATAATATACCATGGTAAAACATATATTTTGATTAATTGCCTAGAAATGACAAGTTGATCTAGGAACAACATCAAACGTTTTCATCTGTAGAGAACTCTTCAGGAAATAAGAACAGACATTGGGTCTGTGGAGCACTTCATGCACATGATAAGCCGATTATATTTCACTTTTGAGATATTGAGATTGTAATGTAGTTAATTTGGCAACAAGGTTTTACAGGGTTTCCCCAATACAACTGCAAAAAGAAGAGAACTTTAACGACTGGATTTCAAAGTATGCACTAGCAACCTTTTGCAACCAAGGTGATAACACAGGAAAGGGAAAACTAGGTGTTTGACTACAGATTTGGGAGTAGATTAGTGTGGCAAGTTTCAGCTTTGACATCACTAAAGCAGAATATCATTGACACTATAACCCAACATAGTTACAAGTCATTATGTACTTCATGTCGCCACTCGTGGTGTTATTATAAAAAATAAATAAATAAAAGAGCTGTGATAGTTGGAAACTGAAGAAGAGCCTATCACAGGAGTTATCCACAAGTATGTTGTAAAGCTATTTACAGAGAATGCATTGATTCTTAGAGAATTTTTCTACTTTCTTAACTAGCATGTGGATATAATCATGAGAATCGGAGACTGTTACATGTCTCGGTTATTTCACCAAAGACCAACCAGATCTGTCATCCTTCCCTGAAGAAATAGTTTCCAGTTTTGAATATTTTTGAAACATTAGTCAAATATATATCTTTATAAGGGAAAATATAGGAAGATACTCTGGCAGGATTCAAGCTCATTAGAAGCATCCAATTGACTTAAGCAAATTTGATAAATGTATTTCAAAACATAATAAGGAAAACTGCAGAGGAAAAATAACAGGTATCATCTATAACAAAATTCATATTTAGAAAATGCAAAACAGAGTGATTGATTGCAGAAAAGAATCTACCTTTACATGCAAATTTGGGTAACTCAAAGCTGTTATTCATCATCTGTTGCATGAACTTTCCTCCCATCAGTGATGAAATTTCTCTCTGAAACATACTCTGAAATGCAATTAATTTGTTAATGCTCAGCATTACATTAACAAAATCTTAATTAGAGAACAAACTAATACCAAATAAGAAAAGGCACCATAAGAACCCTCTAGAATTAACATCCTCCCACGTGATGATGTTAAAATCATTAAATTCATAAGAGGCACTTACAGATACATAGTCATCCGTCTTAACATTCCCATTCATTTCCTCAGTGGATTTAGGTGCGTCAAATTTTCTTTTGTCAATATCTATGGCCAAACAATATGAGCCATAAGCATCTGAGCTATCATTTTTCAGGTTGGCATGGTTTCCACCATTTGATTGGGCATCCATTGAAATTGGAGTCTTCAGGTTCACCATATCCAAATGTGATTCACAAAGAGGACCTTTGGTTCCTTCGTCAGGTAATTTAACAAAATTCAGGGAATCTTGGCTTTGCTGAAATAGAAATAGTTAAAGTTACTTCAACATCCTAAATAAAAGAATTTGAAGAGATGATCAAATAAATAGAGAAGCACATATGATGATGAACTAACAAACAAATTAGTCATTATTAGAAAAAAAGGAGAGATATTGGGTTAAAAATTTCTAACTAGATAATTTTGATGATTAGGGAAGTGTGCATAAAAAGATAGGTGAAGCATAAGAAATATTACCTATTGCCTAAAGGAAGATAATAGTAGCACATAATATATGGTAGCAATGTCCTACAGCTACAAAAAGTACAAGATGCATTCTGCTTTATGTTTTTCTTGATCAAATGATATAACATGTACTTCTTGTTGTTTGGACAAGGGACTTTAAAACATGATATGTTCGTATTAAAAGGTTTAAGCTGCATGTAAGCCAGCAAAATTTATCCTTGGCACATTATAAAGTTTACCTTACGCTGACCTAGCTGGAAGTTGATACAGCTCAAGTCGTAAAGAGAAAACATGCTAGCAAATATCATACTTCTAAATGATATGGGTAACCAGGTCATCATATGAACTCCCGAAAGCAAAACTAAGGTACATTTTCAATTGTCATGCAAAATTTGGATGTTATCTTAAGCTATGTTGTACAGACTCTTCAAACATGTCATCGAGTGCATGTCGGATCCTTCAAAAGTAGTGCATTTTTGGAGGATCCAACACAGGTGCGGCAACATTTTCACTACTTTTGAAGGATCCAACACAGGTGCGGCAACATTTTTGGAGAGTCCAAGCAACCTAGATCTTAAGAACTGACCCATCACCAAGAGGCCCTTAATTATGGTCTTATATCAACTCTATAATATTTTTACTGACCTCACTTCCGACACCGATAATATGGGGAATTACTAAGTAGATTGTTCTTGTTAAGAAATAGTCATCTATGATTCATAAGTCTGCTGCTACCCTTGTTCATCTTTTAGAATGAAAATCCAAACTTCAAGAACACTCTCTTATAAGGCACAAGATACAAAACAAATAAAATCTTTCACACCACATCAAAGGATTTGCCAATCAAATAATTGGTTCAGTGGTCCCTACTTTCAGCAATGACAAAAGCATCAGAATGTAGGACTTGCATGTAAGCTTAATCGCCAGTTCGCATTATATGGTGACAGAATATAAAATTAAGAATATCTAAGAGACAGTGACCAAGAATTTGAACTTTTTCAAGACTCAATTGGTGCAAGAAAACCATCCAAGCCTAGAGCTGAATAATCTCATATAGTATCCAAAGTGTTTTTGATGTTCAATGTAGTCTAGAGAATAGTCACTGGCCTCAACTTTTGACCACCACTTTGCTAATGAAACAAGAGAAGTAAAAGCAACACAGTATCACTTTCTGACTGGAAATAAAGGTTCCTTTAAAAGACACATCTACTCTAAAATGCAATTGTACAACATTTATGAGTTAACCACCAACACTTACTCCATTTATAAGCTGTCATATCTCCAACTGTATCTCAATAACTTTCTTTAGAAATAAATAAAATTTGCAACCACAATGACCATGAAGAACATTTTGGCACTACGTACACATAGAAGTTAAGATTCATAAAACACATTGAAGTGAACCCAGTCTAAACAAATTGACTAATAGATCAAATAAATTACAGCGAAAATTCTAACAGAAAAAAAAAACGTATCCAAATCACGAAACAATAAACACATCGACATGCAGCTTAATCTACACAAAATAAAAAGAAAAGCCTAAAATAAAACATCTCAATTAGATCTAATTGTCACATTACTATTTGTACTACTTCCAAAAAAAACTCATATCTTCATAAGTTGTACAGAAATGACAGATATAAGCATTTAACCCACTGTACAAACAGTAGATTCAAGGACCGTAATGAACTTAGGCTTTTGCATAGAGAAATCGAAATTCCTTACAACAAATTAATAATACCACAAAAAACACAATTAACTCAAATATAACAACCGTTCTCACTCATATCTTCATAATTTCTAGACAGATAACAGTTATTCACTCAACGCATATAGACTCAGGCTACACATTTCAAACAGATAAAAACTGCATCAAAACTCCAACAATAACCAAAATCAAGCCAAAAAAACAACGAGAACAGCACAATGCAGCTATCGAACTGAACTAAAACTGCAATTAAAGATCAAATTGATTAAAAAAGCACATAGCGTACTATTTAAGAAAACTCAATTGATTCCAATAAGGCAACAAACCTTACCTCTTGGCTCGGATTCACCGCCATTTTCACAAACCAAACAATAGATTCCGAATACTCTATTTCTCCAACTGCATTACAGTAGGTATAAATCCAGAGAGAGAGAGAGAGATAGGGGTAGTTTGTTTACGGGGGTGGGTGGGGTGAATATGGAACGTTACAGGAAGAAGAGGGCGTGGGGGGTGGGGGGTGGGGGGTGGGGTAATATGCCAGGAAAGCTCCTGATCACGACATTGATGATCACGACAAACATCTATACGAGCTTGGATTTGGACTAAATTGCCCTTCTGACGTTTCTATAATATAATCTAATACTCCTATTCATTTTCATGACGGTTATTAAAAAACAACTTTTACCTCTATGTTTTTTTCAATTAAAATATTTTAAATGATTAATTATGGTAATTTATAGTAGTTTTTTTAATATAATTTTTAAATAATATATGTTACTTTTTATGTGTCAATTTATGTGGCACGATAGAAATAAAAGAGTTGAATTAATTTTTTTGTAAAAGTATTGTAAGGTGTTCATTATTGTGATTTATAATATTTATTACGTAATTTTCAAACATATAACTAGTGGTGTTCATGATTTGGATAAAAATTGACCCAATTCAAAAAATCAAAATAAACCGATTAAATAAGTAGATTTTATTTAGGTTTGATTTTACATTTTTAAAAATTGATAATATTTGGATTGGTTTTAATTTGTTAAAAAAAATTAAAGAAATAACCGAATCAAACTAACAAATATATATATATATATATATATATACATATATATATATACTTAATATACTATTTTTGATGAATAGTTTTAATATCTTATAAACTTTTTCATCAAAATTCATTTATAAAAGCAAGAGCACCTAAGACAAAAACATTTATCTTGGGAGGGACTAGAAATGTAAATGTTTCTTCCTTGTCTAGGCTAAAGTGATAAATTTTAAATCTTTATTAATAATAAATTCAGCGGTCAAAAGTTATGTAATGTTAGTTGTTCTAACTATTTTTCTTTTTGAATCAATTGTTGTCTTTTGTTTTCCTTTTTGACTGAATTGTTTATTTTATTTTTGTATATGATTAATAACCAAATAATCTAATTGAAATTCATAACAACCATACCGAAAAATGTTTTATATTTGGCTTGGTTTGATTTTAATAATTTGAAAATCAATTGAATTTGTTTAATTTTGATTTTGACCAATAATCGATTAACTGATCCATGAATACGCCTATTTATAATTGATTAAAAAGAAAATAAAACATACAAATTCAAACAAAAAAGGTACTGAATTTTTAAAAATACTCTTGACTAGAAACAAGTATATCAACAAGCCATTGTTTTCTTGTAATCCTTCCATATAGGAGTAGTAATTAGTTAAAATATAGGGAAAATAACACTTGTATCCAAAAAGGGAAATTGTTTACAAGCGGCTACCCGTTTACTTTCATACCCCCATGCTTTTAACTACTAATTCACGTTTACCATTTGATACTATCAAAGTATATATATACTATAATGGTATCAAAGAAGAAAAAACAGTGATTTAAAGAAAATACTTCTCAGTTACACCTTTATACCATTAGAGTATATATATACTATGATGGCATCAAGGAGGAAGAAATAATATTTCAGTCAAATAATTGCTCAATTACTGCTTGATGTATTAGAGTACATAGATACCATTAGAGTATACACACTCCGATGGTATCAACAATGACTTAGTGAATAGAACAAGGGACAGTCAAGTAAATAGTTTGGATTGTGGGTCCAATTAGGATAAAATAGTTGGGCAAATTACAAAAATCACATACATTTTAAGGCAAAATTACAATCTATCCCTTAAAAGTTTATAATTACAGAAATCCCTCAAACGGATACAATAATATAAGCGTTGATACATTAATCTGATGCGTGAGATACATTAATCATTAAGTAAGATACATTACATTTTATACATGATACACTAATCTGATGTACATTTTATATATAATACACTAATCTGATGCGCGAGATACATTAATCTGATGCGCGAGATACAATAATATAAATGTTGATACATTAATATGATGCACGAGATACATTAATTTGATGCGCGAAAATGAGGAATTTTGAAAATTTGTAAAACTTATAGGGGATAATGATAATAAGTAAACTAAAAGGTGAGATTTCTATAATTTTTTCTAAATAGTTTGGATTTGATCCAATTTATTAGGTACATATTTTACTTGCGGAGTCCAATTTGTGTAGTTTTCCTTAAAATATATTCCCTCCGCCTTAGGGGTGTGCATTCGGTTTTTTGGTTTGGTTTTACACTATTCGGTTTGGATTTTCGATTTTTGGTTTTGTAAAAGTGTAACCCAATCCGATCCAAAATAAATTTGGTTTGGTTTGGTTTTCCTCTATTCGGTTTGGCTTTCTTCGATTTGGTTATTCGGTTATGTCAATAATTAATAACATATATAACCAAAGTAATAATATTTAATCCCTTAAATATACTTTCTAATATAAATCATAAGTAAAACTTAAAACACAACACTTATAAGTATACCTATTATAGATGTAATTCAAACATAAAAGGGAGAAGACACAAGTACCCCCTAGACTATGACCGAAATCACAGAAACACATCTTATAGATGTAATTCAAACATAAAAGGGAGAAGACACAAGTACCCCCTAGACTATGACCGAAATCACAGAGACACACCTTAACTAAATTAAGGTCCTATTACCCCCCTTGAACTCATTTTTTTTTGTAATTTTGTACACCTTTTGACTTATGTGGCACACCACGCGACTCCACGCAGTATATATATATAATTCGTTTTTTTTCGGTTTTTATCTTTTAAAATCCGAAACCAAACCAAAAAACCAAACAAAGTAATTTATTAATCCAAAACCAATCCGAAAAACCAAAAAACCAATCCAAATAAAAATTCGGTTTGATTTGGTTTGGTTATTCGGTTTAATCCAAATAGTGCACACCCCTACTCCGCCTTCGGGGTTTTTTAAAATAACCTTTTAACTTTTTTAAAATTAATTTATAATAGGTGTCATTTTCAAAACTCAATAGAAAACTATTTCCCTTTTTCTAAATTAACTTTGTTATAATAAATTATGTAAACAAATTTTAAATGGTATTTTAATTAAATTTTTTTACATATTCTAGAAGTATCAAAATTGTATATTAAAATGTAATGTTGTTAAATAATTATTTTAATTGTAATTAACATGTCTAAATGGATGTGTCACAACCAGCAAGAAGGGGTGGATATGGAATAGTATATATACCGAATATTACGTTGAAATCAAAATTTTGTGGCGTCAAAAAAATGTCTTAGATAATTATATTTTGATAGCACTAAAGAAATATTTGAAACACAAGTTAATAATATATTTATAAAAATGGCTTACCAAAAAAATCCTAGAACTCAAGACACCCGAAAAATTCAAAATTCCATTAGTTTAATTTGATTTATAAATTTAAAAACCTGAGACAAATGATTTGATTTGATATTTACAAAATCTGAATTAACTTGGTCCATGTATATCCCTGAAACCATTTATTACACTAATAATATATTCAATTTAAATCCGTTAATTTTAAATTATTTGTAGCTGGGGTGTTATTATGTTTACATGTCTATTTCTTTGCCCCCGCCAAGTTGGAGTTTGGTGCAGTATTTATTATAATTCTAAAATATAAAAAGAAGATAGAATATAATGTCTTTATATTCCTTTCTTTTAAAACACTTTTTTTTTCAAATAAAAGTATCATTTTAAATAACTCTTTTTGTGTCCCTTCTTTTAAAAAAAATTTTAACTAACAAAAACTGAAAAATAATTTATTTCTTTCTTCTTAATCTCATTTTATCAATTAAAATAAAATAATTTTATATATTTTTTAACTAATAATATAAATTTTGTATATAAAATCATAATAATCATCATTAATTTTATTTAAATAATAATTAAAAATTTTTAATCATAAGTAAATATTTTGTTGAGTTCAAATTGTATGATAGGGAGGACATCAAAGGGAAATAGAAAGGGAAAAAGGGAAGAGGAGAATTTGAAGGAAAATCCCAAGGGGAGAGATGAATCTTGGGTGGGGCATGCAATGCAAGTAGCTAGGTGGTAGGAGATTTGTTTGATTGTCAATTTGATATTGATATACATATATACAAGTTCCTTTATTATGAGTTTTTTGTTTCCTCCTTTTCCAATCGATATTCGATACTCGCATTGAAGTTTCAATCAAATTCAAATCACGCAAAGCAAGTCTCATTTAGGAATAACATTCTCAAGTTCCATCAAGATTTTTTTCATACTTAAAATAAAACAGTCTTATCATTGCACCAGAATACTGGTTGAGTTTAGTTGTTGCATATTGCTAGTCAAATGGGAAAGAGACAATTTTTGGATCAAAATCAAATCTTGTGGTGTCTTATGGGCAAGTCACGGGGTTGATTACTGTTCCAACTCTGTGCTTGTGAGTTTCTTTGTTGACCCTAAAATGGCCCACATGGTTAAAATATTTCACGTGACTACTTTAAAATATGATACTTCTCTCTCGACATGACAAAAAACTTTATGGTTTTTTGGACTTTTTCTAAGCATAGTATGACAATTTTATTTTAAATGTTTTTTTAGACCTGCCTCTGGTTTAAAATGATTTTTTATAACCAGTCTAAAATTGGGAAATTTTGGACTGTATCTCTATAATTTTCAGCTCTCTATGGGACTCATATCGAAATTGTTTTATTATGATCAATAATAGTAACATATCCCATATATATTTAATATATTAGGGGTGTACAAAATCGAATCGAAAATCAAATCAAATCGTAAATCGAGTCAAATCGAAAAATATTCGATTAGTGATTTGGTTTGACTTGATTTGGTATTGGAAAAAAAAACCTGACTATATTTGGGTTGGTTTGATTTTAACTAAAAAAACCAACTCGAGATCAAATCAACCTGACATTATATATATATATGTAATTTTAAAATTTTATTTCATACATAAAAATATTTACTTTGATATAATTTTAAAATATTTCTAATATTATTTCATAGTTTTTATCTTTTAATATATT